ACCCAGGTGTAGGAACCACTTATGTTTGCTGGAGAATGCTGGGGCTGGGGCTGGACAGCAACGTGTTTCAAAGCAACCTTGCTTCTTCTTCAGCCCCGTATTAATGTCATTGGGAGTATTAATTGCCCCTGGTGTCGCAAAAGTAATAAATTCCCCTGTGTCCATGGGAGTAAAAGATGCCTCTATGTCAGTAGTCAGCAGGAGTAAAAACTGTCTATGTGTCAGTGGTCAGTAGGCATAAAAACATGCCTTGGCATCAGTGGACAGTTGGTATAAAAATTGCCCTGGCATCAGTGTCCAGTTGGAGTAAAAAATACAGAAGGATCAGCAGGAGTAAAAAAAAATAACCTGCTGTTAGTTAAAGTAAAAGTGTCCCAGCCTCAATGGGAGTAACAAATGTCCCTGTTTCAGTGGTCAAAAAAAGGAATAGTGCCGCATCATTGGTGTTCAGTGGGAAAAAAGTTTCCCAGCTTTGCTGACTGTCCATCCATCGCTAGTTTTCAGTGCACTTGCCTTTCTTGTCCTCTTCTGATCCTCAGAATGATATCATGGCTGGGGCTATAAAGGTACCATCAGTCAGGAGATCACTTTGTCACAAGATGGAGATCATATCACCGCCCCCTCCTCTCCCCCATGTCCAATAAGAGAAAGCCTTGTTTTCATTATAAAAAAAATACAAGGCTTTCTATAAATGGTGGCAGTACTGAGCAGGTGACCCCCAGTGGTCAGTGTGTAGTGGGGCAGCCGCTCAGCACAGGATCCACAAGTTTGCGGTAGTTACTGTGGTAGCGCCAACTACTACAGTGATTGTCAGCTTCCACAGCAGTCCATCAGGTATGAGATATACACACTTACATTGGTCCAAACTGGACTAAAGTAAGTATGCAATTAAGATCAATTCTAGAATTCAGCTTTAGGTCAATGTTAGCTTCTTATGATTTATCACATGAACAGTTTCTCAGGGAACATGCTCAGTTCTCCAAAACTGCAAACTACTCTCTGCGATCAGGTCTGTTAGTTAAACTACAAATCCCATAAACCTTTGCTAAATTTCAGATGTTCAGGTTGATGAGGGCTGTAGCTCAACAACAGCTGTACAGCCTTGCTAAATTCTAAGCTTTTTGCATCTGTGCAGCAGCTGCTGGCCCACCATTCCCAGGGGCTTAGAGCTAATTTGTAGAACTATGGGGGGCTGTGCCTGGCAATAGGAATAGTCTATTAGTGCTGCTTATGTTGAAAAATTGCGAGTTTGATATCTTCCACATGCCGATGTTCCACATTGTCAGTGTTCTGCAGCTCTTTGGTTAACCCTTTGCTGAAAGCTGTGTATAACTGATCGAACAAAATCAAAGGAATGGGGCCAGGCCATGTTGTATTAGAGTGGAAGTTGAAAAACCAAAATGCTTCTTAGCAGAAGATTAGGTAGCCTTGCTGTAAACTTTGGAAGATCAAACTCTTGACTAAGCCCTGGTTCACATTGGATCCAACTCTGAAATTGTGCAGCTTCACAATTTGAAAGTCAGATGGCATTGCAACTTCAAGTGTGACTTGGTAGACATCTGTGCGACTTCATCTACAGATGTCTATGCAAGTCACACCCGAAATCCGCAAAAGTAGTATAGGAAACTATTTTTCACATCAGTGCGACTCCGACAAAGTCAGAGTCGCACCGATTAGAATGGTCCATTGACGATCATTGGATGCGATTTGTCATGCAATTTGGTCAAATTGCATGATAATTCGCATGAGTGTGCACCAGGGATTAGTTAAGCATATTTGTAGACATCAGAAAATTAAAAAGTTCAATCAAATTTTAACTGCTTGTTTTTTTTTCTGTCAAAGAATAAGAAGAATTAATAAAAAAATAACCGGTGTCTTAAAGTGATTGTAAAGGCTCGAGGTTTTTTACCTTCATGCATTCTATGCATGAAGGTAAAAAACCTTTGGTGTGTAGAAGTGCTCCCAGCCCCCTCAATACTTACCTGAGCCCCATCGAAATCCAGCGATGCGAACGGCTGTCCAGGTCTCTGCCTCCTCATTGGCTGAGACAGCAAGCGGGAGCCATTGGCTCCCACTGCTGTCAATCACAGCCAGTCAGCCAATGAGGAGAGAAAGGGGTCAAGCTGTGGCTCTGTGGGTAAATGGACACATGGAAAAGCGGGTGCCCCCATAGCAAGCTGCTTGCTGTGGGGGCACTCGACAGACAGGAGGAGCCAGGAAAGCCTGTGGGGGACCTGAGAAAAAGAGGATCCAGGCTGCTCTGTGCAAAACCACTGCACACAGTAGGTAAGTATAGACATGTTTGTGTTTGTTATTTTCCAAAACAAAAATTGAACCTTTAGAATCGCTTTAATTACAGTATTTGTGGTTCCTCAATGAAATGTAAATGTCTGTGAATTATGCCTTCATAGAATAATTCTTAATCTCTTCCAGAGATAGTTTGCTATATTTTCCTATGCACTCCTTTTAAGGAAGTAAACACAATTGTTTAGGAATGAATTGATCTGCTGGCTAATATTCTTTATGTTCTTCTTAGAATTATACAGGATTTATATAGTGCCAACAGTTTGCACAGTGCTTTACAATATAAAGGGAGACAGTACAGTTACAATACAATAACATAAGAGGTTAGGATGGCTCTGCTCATAAAACCTTACAATCTAATACGGTAGGTCTAGTATTGATTGTCAGAGTTTACAACACATAAGTAGATCGGAATCTATTTTTATTTTTGAACATTTATATTTCAGAAGTAAAACCATATACTGTCATTTATTGAAGCACCTGAAATATTTCATACTCTCAAGTAGTGGTTAACAGCCCTATCCACTTATCCATTACAAAGCAGATTTGCTACACAGGAAAGTAATTTGCTAAACTGTGATTTTTTTTTTTAAGCATTAAAGGATAAGTTTACCTTTTATATAAAAAAATAATAAATGCACTTTTTTTTTGCTGGTAAAAAAATGTGCATTTATTATTTTTGTCTGCTGGAGTCAGTAAACCATTGCATCAGTGATCAGCAGATTGCTGGTGCCATGCAGGTCTCCTGCAGATCTGTTAGTATATCTCCTTGCTCATACGGGATTTATGGGATGTTGAGAGCAAGCAGATATACTGACAGGAAGAATGAATGAACTTCACAGCACTGTGGTAGTTCACTGAGGACTACAAGCTGACAGCCACCAAGGCTGACGGGACTTGTAGTCTCTCATTCACAGATGACTGTGAATGAGTGACAAGGCCATGTGGGCGGAGCCCTGCACAGTCACTTTTTTAAACTTTGACCGCTGGCGGGGGGGGAAGAAACCCCCGCTAGCTAGCTGTCCAAGCGGGGATCAGGGGCCTGATTGTTACTTTACATTTTTACACCCTGAATATGGTGAACTTATCCTTTAACCACTTGCCCTCCAGAGGATTTACCCACCTCATGACCTGGCCATTTTTTTTTGCGTTACTTTAACTGACAATTGTGCGGTCATGCAACGCTTTACCCAAATGAAATTTACGTACATCAAAGTCATACTCAAGTCACATCAAGTTGCCAGGAAGTCACCTGACAAAGTCGCAATGTAAGTCGTGGATCTTTCAGGTCGCAGTAATGTGAACCGAGCCTAATAGTGGATTATGATTTAAAGTTACAAGGGTAACACAATTTGTTATCATTCACTTACTGGGGAAAAGTGACTTGAACTACCATGTTCCAGTCCTTTTATGAGATTGAAAAATTACTGTAATCCACATAGGCAAAAATAACAGTTTTTAAACAAGTGAAAATTGTCAGGGCCAGAGAGGATGTGTTTACTTAAAAAACCCACAAGCAGGATAGCCTAAAAAAGTACACCAATAAATGTCCAATGTATACAAAGCTAGAATTGTGTTGTGGCCACTAAAAGAAATGATGATTCCAGATGTAACCATTTCTATGTAAAGGGGAAGAAAGCTAAATAATAAAAAAAAAGGTTGTAAGAAGTACATCTGTAACAGGGCCCTTGTAGTCAGATTACATTTACATTAATGAAAATGTACTTGCAGGTTGAAAACTGTCATCAAATTATGTATAAAATAAAGAAAAAAAACATTTATTTCCTGCAATTGTGCATTCATTTTTTTCAATCACTTTCAAATTGCTGCAGAATTTGTCAGTGCTTTATATATATAATTAGAGATGAGCGAATCGAAGTATCCGAAGTGGAATTCGAGTCGAATATCGGAAAAAATTTCGATTCGTGCCGAATCCGAAAATATAGCCTAATTCGGACGCGCGAATCGAAATTTTTCAGAAAATGGCGGCTGACATGTGCGGCGACGGAGCGGAGATGTCTGGGAAGGCGCGCAGACAAGGCGCGCTGACCCATAATGCATTCCTCAACTACATGTGATCGCATCAGCCTATCAGCAGCCAGCCAGCCAGCACTGTGTAATGGTCGAGCTATAAATAGCGGCCATTTTGGAATTCTTCATTTGCCTGCAGTTATTGAACAGAGGCAGACCGCTCTGTACTAGGGACAGGGACAGAGTTAGGGCCACAGAAACGATAATTGGGGACAGAGAAAAAGTTACTTAGGGACAGAGAAACCATTACTCAGGGACACAGACTTGTTAATGAGGGCCACAGAATCGTTATTTAGGGACAAAGAAAACGCTAGTTTTAGGGCCACAGAATTCATAATCAGGGACAGACAGAATTGTTACTCAGTGCCAGAGAATTGTTACTTAGGGCCACAGAAACGTTATTTAGGGCCACAGAATTGTTACTCAGGGACAGACAGAATTGTTACTGAGTGCCAGAGAATTGTTACTCAGGGACAGACAGAATTGTTACTGAGTGCCAGAGAAAATTGTTACTTAGGGCCACAGAAACTTTAATTAGGGCCACAGAATTTTTTACTCAGGGACAGACAGAATTGTTACTCAGTGCCAGAGAATTGTTACTCAGGGACAGACAGAATTGTTACTGAGTGCCCGAGAGAATTGTTACTCTTAGGGCCACAGAAACTTTACTTAGGGGCCACAGAATTTTTACTCAGGGACAGACAGAATTGTTACTGAGTGCCAGAGAATTGTTACTCAGGGACAGACAGAATTGTTACTGAGTGCCAGAGAATTGTTACTTAGGGCCACAGAAACTTTACTTAGGGCCACAGAATTGTTACTCGCACAGACACAGAATTGTTACTCGCACAGACACAGAATTGTTTACTGAAGGCCACAGAACTGTTACTTAGGGCCACAGAATTGTTACTCGCACAGACACAGAATTGTTACTAACATCGCACAGACACAGAACTGTTACTGAGGGCCACAGAAACTGTACTTAGGGCCACAAAATGTTACTCTCTCGCACAGACACAGAATTGTTACTCAGGGCCACAGAACTGTTACTTAGGGACAAAGAAACGCTAGTTAGGGCCACAGAATTCATACTCAGGGACAGACAGAATTGTTACGGAGTGCCAGAGAATTGTTACTACTTGGCCACAGAAACTTTACTTAGGGCCACAGAGATTTTTACTCAGGGACAGACAGAAATTGTTACTGAGTGCCAGAGAATTGTTACTCAGGGACAGACAGAATTGTTACGGAGTGCCAGAGAAGTTGTTACTCAGGGCCACAGAAACTTTACTACTTAGGGCCACAGAATTTTTTACTCAGGGACAGACAGAATTGTTACTGAGTTGCCAGAGAATTGTTACTCAGGGACAGACAGAATTGTTACTGAGTGCCAGAGAATTGTTACTTAGGGCCACAGAAACTTTACTTAGGGCCACAGAATTGTTACTCGCACTACAGACACAGAATTGTTACTCGCACAGTACACAGAATTGTTACTGAAGGCCACAGAACTGTTTACTTAGGGCCACAGAATTGTTACTCGCACAGACACAGAATTGTTACTCTGCACTTACTCGCACAGACACAGAACTGTTACTGAGGCCACAGAACTGTTTACTTAGGGCCACAGAATTGTTACTCACTCGCACAGACACAGAATTTGTTACTCAGGGCCACAGAACTGTTACTTAGGGACAAAGAAACGCTAGTTAGGGCCCACAGAATTCATACTCAGGACAGACAGAATTGTTACGGAGTGCTAGAGAATTGTTTACTCTGGGCCACAGAAACTTTACTTAGGGCCACAGAATTTTTACTCAGGGACAGACAGAATTGTTACTGAGTGCCAGAGAATTGTTACTCAGGGACAGACAGAAATTGTTACGGAGTGCCAGAGAATTTGTTACTCAGGGCCACAGAAACTTTACTTAGGGCCACAGAATTTTTTACTCAGGGACAGACAGAATTGTTACTGAGTGCCAGAGAAAAAAAAAAAGAATTGTTACTCAGGGACAGACAGAATTGTTACGGAGAATTGTTATTTTAGGCACAGAACTTTTACTTAGGGCCACAGAAACTTTACTTAGGGCCCACAGAATTGTTACTGCGCACAGACACAGAAAATGAGGGCCACACAGAAAACTGGGACAAAGAAACGCTACTTAGGGCGGAATTTCACTCAGGGACACAGAATTGTTACGGAACTTGTTACTGAGGGCCACAGAGAACTTTACTTAGGGACAAAGAAAAACGCTGTTAGTTAGGGCCACACGGAATTCATACTCAGGGACAGACAGAATTGTTACGGAGTGCCAGAGAATTGTTACTCAGGGACAGACAGAATTGTTACGAGTGCCAGAGAATTGTTACTCAGGGACAGACAGAATTGTTACTGAGTATAGTGCCAGAGAAATTGTTACTTAGGGCCACAGAAACTTTAATTAGGGCCACAGAATTTTTACTCAGGGACAGACAAGAATTGTTACTGAGTGCCAAGAGAAATTGTTACTCAGGGGACAGACAGAATTGTTACTACCAGAGTGCCAGAGAATTGTTACCTCAGGGACAGACAGAATTGTTAGTCTGAGTGCCAGAGAATTGTTACTTTAGGGCCACAGAAACACTTTAATTATGGGCCACGAGAATTTTTACTCAGGACAAGACAGAATTGTTACTGAGTGCCAGAGAATTGTTACTCAGGGACAGACAGAATTGTTACGGAGAGTGCCAGAGAATTGTTACTCTCAGGGCCACAGAAACTTTACTTAGGGCCACAGAATTTTATTTACTCAGGGACAGACAGAATTGTTACTAGAGAGTGCCAGAGAATTTGTTACTCAGGGACAGGACAGAATTGTTACGGAGTGCCAGAGAATTGTTACTCAGGGACAGACAGAATTGTTACTGAGTGCCAGAGAATTGTTTACTTAGGGCCACAGAAACTTAAATTAGGGGCCCACAGAATTTTTACTCAGGGACCAGACAGAATTGTGTTACTGAGTGCTCCAGAGAATTGTTACTCCAGGGACAGACAGAATTGTTACCCGATTTCGAGTGCCAGAGAATTGTTACTCAGGGGACAGACAGAATTGTTACTGAGTGCCAGAGAATTGTTACTTAGGGCCACAGAACTTTAAATTAGGGGCCACCATCATATTTTACTCAGGGACAGACAGAATTGTTACTGAGTGCCAGAGAATTGTTACTCAGGGACAGACAGAATTAGTTACGGAGTGCCAGAGAATTCTGTTACTCAGGGCCACAGAAACTTTACTTTAGGGCCAGAGAATTTTTACTCAGGGACAGACAGAAATTGTTACTGAGTGTGCCAGAGAATTGTTACATCAGGGACAGACAGAATTGTTACTGAGTGCCAGATAAATTGTTACTCAGGGCCCCAGAAACTTTACTTATGGGCCAGAGAATTTATTTTTACTCAGGGACAAGACAGAGAATTGTTACTGAGTGCCAGAGAATTGTTTAATCAGGCGACAGACAGAATTGTTACTGAGTGCCTAGATAATTGTTACTCAGGGCCCAAGAAACTTTACTTAGCGGCCACAGAATTTTTACTCAGGGGACATATACAGAATTAGTTACTGAGTGCCAGAGAATTGTTTACTCAGGGACAGACTAGAGATTATTGTTACTGAGATGGTGCCAAAGTGGGGGGGGGGGGAATTGTTTTGGGGGTTGTGAGCGGTGGGTTGGGGGGGGGGGGGTGGAACAGAAACTTTATTCTACTTAGGGGCCACAGTATTGTTACTTCGCACAGACACAGAATTGTTACTCGCAGTGCACAGACACAGAATTGTTACTGAGGGCGCACAGAACTGTTACTTGGGGACCACAGAATCGTTAAATCAGGGTTACACAGTATTGTTGATCTTCTCACTGTGAGGGCCACAGAGAACTGTTACTTTAGGGCCACAGAATTGGGTTACTCGCCAGGAGGTCACAGAATTTGTTACTCAGGGACACACAACTTAGTTACCTCAGGGACACATAATCGTTCTAATTAAAGAGTATGTCGCAGACAAAACATGCAGAGGAGTGGCAGAGGAGGCAATGAGTTTAGGAGCGAGCAGCTACGTGCAGCAGAGAAAGGGGTCGAGGCAGCACTATTCGCAGCCAGACAGGCCAGTGCTCCCGGGTGTTCATCCAGCCGGTCGTGTCTCCACCGACAACCCTGCCGTCGACGTCGATTGGTTGGCTCGGGTCGTCTTCTTCTTCCCCAGGTCAACCTCTGACACCTACAGCCAACGGTCGGTGGGTACGTCAGACACAACCGTTAGTTGGCATGGCCCCCGGGACCGAGCCCACTGAAAATCACGCGTGTTCCGGTCTACCTGCCCCTGTCCTTGGGTGGTTCCCTCACCAAGCGAAGTATCGCATGCTGTGGGCTCAGCCCCCACTGTACAGTGAGGAAGAGCTAACAGAGGGCGGTCAGGAAATACGGGGGGGAGACCATCCGCCTTTTCAGTGGAGCCAGGCGGTAAGAAGTAGTGGCGAGGAGAGGGCTGGCTCGGTAGCCGGTCTAGGACAGGTTCTGTCTCCTGGACCCAGACGCAGCCCGAGGGGGCTAGTAGTGAGGCGGAGACCCTACTTGATGATGAGGAGGGTCTGTCGCACTTGGCAGCCTCGTCGTCATCAGGCAATTTCTTCCGCATCATCAGGAGAAGAGGCCATGTGTGGCAGCTTGGCAGCGAGCAAAACAGTCGGTGGGTTGTTGCCCAAGGAGACAGCAAGCAGAGGTCGCACGCAAGCGTCGCCATTTGGTTGGCCTGGTCGAAAACCGTGATAAAGATTACAGCGGTTCTGCCAGCCCCCAAGATGATAAAGTACCCCCCGCTCCATCACCCGCTCCGTTACTTGCTCCGTCACCCGACGTCAATCGCCCTCCATCAGCCAGTCAAGGCCTCCAACACCTCGGCTGAGGGGAGTTGTCGCTCGTTGGGCAGCTTCCGCTCGTTCAGTGATGCTCCTTCTCCTGCTACTTCCTCTTCACGGATTCCGTCAGCATGTCTTTCTTGGAATCCGTTTCCAAGAGACAACAGTTTGCGAGCACGGCACCCGACGGTGCAAAAAAGCTGAACGTCCTCCCTGTCCAAGTTGCTAATGGTGCTGCAGTCCCTCCCTTTCCAATTGGTGGACTCAGCACCTTTCAGAGAAATGATGGCTTGTGCCGCGCCTGCGGTTGGAGAGTGCCAAGCCGTCATTTCTTCGCCAAAAAAGGCAGTGCCAGCCCTGCATTCACATGTAGAAGACATGGTGGGCCAGTCTTTGAGCATGTCGGTCTCTGCCAAAGTGCACAGGCAGCGCCGACGTGTGGAGCTGTAACTATGGTCAGGGACAGTACATGTCCATTTACGGCCCACTGGGGTGAACGTTGGTGCCGTCACAGCCGCACCAGCAACTTGGACAGGTCACGCCGCTTTTGCCTCCACTTTTTGCACGTCCTTGGTCCAGGCAAAGATGTCCGCCTCTACCACCTCTTCTTCCGCCGTGTCCTCAGCCGCCACCCCCCCCCAGTGCCAAGTCCCATTACCCGACCGGCATATCGACATGTGCAGGGCGCAACGGTGTCACGCTTTCTGCACCTGGTATGCCTTGGCGAACTCTGTAGTCACACAGGGGAGGAACTTTGAGTGTAATGAACAGAGAAATCGACAGATGGCTGTCTCCGCGCAAAACTGAAAATCGGAAACCATGTTGACCGACAACGGAAAGAACATGGTGTCATGCTCTGCGTCAAGGAAGGTTGTGCCATGCGCCATGCATGGCTCACGTGTTCAATCTGGTTGTCAAGCGGTTCTTAAAAATCCACCATCCCACTGCAAGACATCCTTAAAATGTCACGTAAACTTTGCATGCATTTCAGGCCATTCCTACACCGCAAAGCACACCCTCCTTGAGCTGCAGCGGCAGAACGGAATTCCACAGCATCGCCTGATCTGCGACGTTGCAACAAGGTGGGAATTCAACCCTACAACATGTTTTAACCTGCCTTTACGAACAGCGAAAGGCCATCACCCGATTTCCTGATGTTACAAGCGGATAAAGGTACTCCCCTGTGTAACTTCGATGTCAGCCATTGGCAGCTCATGCGTGACACCTGCCGCTTGCTCAGGCCCATTTGAGGAGGCCACGCTATTCTGTGAGTCGGCAGGACTATGGGCCGATGAAACGACGTCATTCCTCTGTTGCACGTCCTTGAACAAATGCTGTTAACAATGGCTGGTCAGGGTGCGGTAGACGTGGCGCACAGATCTCAACGCCACATGACCCCTGTGGGGGCAGGACAGGAAGAAGAGGAGGAGGTAGAGGGAGGACATTTGTGCCTCAGGAATTATTGAGTGAAATGGGTGGTTTTTCCACTCAGCGGACAGGAGTGGAGGAGCAGGAGCATTGGGTAGAGGAGGAGGAGGAGGAGACAGAGGACCCAGACGCACCGTGGCAGTATGCTGTGGGAGATGGAGGCAGGGAGAAGTCCCTCGCATTCCTTGGCACAAATGGCCCATAGCATTGCTCGGTTTGCTTGCGTAGCGACAGCCGAATTAATAACCATCAGACAGAGGGATGACTTTTGGCTGTCCACCTTGTTGGACCCTCGCTACCCGTTCCCAAAAATGGTGGCCTTTTTTCACACCTGCTGAGAGGGAGGCCAAAATAACGTACTATAAAAACCACCTATGTAGTCAGTTGGTCTCTGCCTTTCTGCGCCAACGTCCATCCTCAGACACTGTGGGCCCTGTGCGCTCGCGTTCCGCTGCCATGGCAGCAGGGGAGGGGTGGGGTGGTATAGGAGCTAGTGGCAGCTCCACCAGCAGCAGCTGCTCAGTCTGCAGTCGATGATGAGTAGCTTTCTTCACCAGCGCAGTGAGGAAAACTACTAACCCTAGCCAGCAGCAGCAGCAGCATCAGGTGGACCTGGAGCAGGACCTCAAACAACAGGCTTGGGCCAACGTACTTGGACAGCACCCTGCCAACCGAGGTAGACAATACCCCTTGACTACTGGGCAACGAAACTTGACCTTTGGCCCCAACTAGCTGAATTTGCCCTTGAAAGGCTGTCATGCCCGGCCAGAGTAGCGTGGCATCGGAGCGCGCGTTGTTTTAGTGCGGCAGGAGGTATTGTAACTCCGCGGAGGACAACGAATTGTCCACCCAAAGTGTGGAGAGGACTCACGTTTGTGAAAATGAATCAGGCGTGGATTAGTCTGGCTTCCGATTTCAAAACCAGTTCCTGACACAACTGACTAAATCCCGCCATGAATCATGCCTCAAACATGTGCCACTTGAGGTCCTCCTCACACACTGCTGGTGTGTAGAATTTTTTGGCATAGGGTTGCTGGCAGATTACGGGCCTCCCAGAGCTGCTTCGCCAGTGCCCTAATCTGCCATAGGCCCCTATGTCGTATTTAACCGCCTCCTCATGCTGCTGCCAGGTCCAGAAGTCTCTCATGGGTCCTGTACGGCACTCCCATTGCTGCTGTCTCCATCGCCACACTCTGCCATGTGCCACTTTCAGGTCTCCTCACACACTGCTGGTGTGTAGAATTTTTTGACATAGGTTGCTGGCAGATTATGGGCCTCCCATAGCTGCTGCCAGGCCCCTAATCTTGCCATAGGCCCCTATATATACCGCTTCCTCATGCTGCTATGCCAGGTCCAGAGTCTCTCATGGGGTCCCTGTACGGCCTCCCATTGCTGCTGTCTCCATCGCCACACACTGCCATGTGCCACTTTCAGGTCTCCTCACACACTGCTGGTGTGTAGAATTTTTTTAGACATAGGGTGCTGGCAGATTATGGGCCTCCTAATAGCATTGCTGCCAGGCCCCTAATCTGCCTCTATAGGCCACCTATATACCGCTTCCTCATGCTGCTGCCAGGTCCAGATTCTCTCATGGGTCCCTGTACGGCCTCCCATTGCTGCTGTCATCCATCGCCACACTCTGCCATGTGCCACTTTCAGGTCTCCTCACACACTGCTGGTGTGTAGAATTTTTTGACTATAGGGTGGCTGGCAGATTATGGGCCTCCTATAGCTGCTGCCAGGCCCCTAATCTGCCATAGGCCCCTATATACCGCTTCCTCATGCTGCTGCCGTAGGTCCAGAGTCTCTTCATGGGTCCCTGTACGGCCTCCGTGGTATTGCTGCTGTCTCCATCGCCAACACTCTGCCATGTGCCACTTTCAGGTCTCCTCACACACTGCTGGTGTGTTTAGAATTTTTTATGGCCTCGTCTACATCTGGGTGCTGGCAGATTATGGGCCTCCTATAGCTGCTGCCAGGCCCCTAATCTGCCATAGGCCCCTATATACCGCTCCCATATGCTGCTCTGTGCTGCCAGGTCCCAGAGTCTCTCATGCCATGTGCCACTTTCAGGTCTCCTCACACTGCTGGTGTGTTGAATTTTTTTGACATAGGGGTTGCTGGCAGATTTTGGGGCCTCCCCATAGCTGCTGCCAGCCCCTAATCTGCCATAGGCCCCTATATACCCACCCTCCTCATGCTGCTGCCAGGCTCCTCCAGAGTCTGTCATGGGTCCCTGTACGGCCCTCCCATTGCTGCTGTCTCCATCGCCACACTCTGCCATGTGCCACTTTCAGGTCTCCTCACACTGCTGGTGTGTAGAATTTTTGACATAGGTGCTGGCAGATTACGGGCCCCCATTGCTGCACTGCCAGGCCCCTGATAATCTGCCACAGGCCCCTATATACCCCCGCCTCCTCATGCTGCTGCCGTGCAGGTCCAGAGTCTGTCATGGGTCCCTGTACGGCCTCCCCATGTTGCTGCTGTCTCCATCGCCACACTCTGCCATGTGCCACTTTCAGGTCTCCTCACACACTGCTGGTGTGTAGAATTTTTTGACATAGGGTGCTGGCAGATTACGGGCCTCCCATAGCTGCTGCCAGGCCCCTAATCTGCCATAGGCCCCTATATACCGCCGCCTCCTCATGCTGCTGCCAGGTCCAGAAGTCTGTCATGGGTCCCTGTACGGCTCCCATTGCTGCTGTCTCCATCGCCACAACTCTTGCCATGTGCCACTTTCAGGTCTCCTCACACACTGCTGGTGTGTGTAGAATTTTTTGACATAGGGTGCTGGCAAGATTATGGGCCTCCTATAGCTGTGCTGCCAGGCCCCTAATCTGCCATAGGCCCCTATATACCCCTTCCTCATGCTGCTGCCCGAGGTCCAGAGTCTCTCATGGGTCCCCCCCGTACGGCCTCCCATTGCTGCTGTCTCCATCGCCAACACCTCTGCCATTGCCATGTGCCACTTTCAGGTCTCCTCACACACTGCTGGTGGGTGTATTTTTTGACATAGGGTGCTGGCAGATTATGGGCCTCCTATAGCTGCTGCTGCCAGGCCCCCTAATCTGCCATAGGCCCCTATATACCGCTTCCTCATGCTGCTGCCAGGTCCAGAGTCTCTCATGCCATGTGCCACTTTCAAGGTCTCCTCACTCACACTGCTGGTGTGTTGAATTTTTTTGACATAGGGTGCTGGCAGATTATGGCCTCCCATAGCTGCTTAGCCAGGCCCTAATCTGCCCAT